TGGTGTTTTCTATACATGTAGAATTACAGAACTGACATTACTTGGTTAAAACTACCACACTGTCATGCAACATATACGAAACTGTCAGTGTCGAAAGTCTTGTAGTAGGAAGCAAAGCTTTGGCACCAAAATGTATTCCCTCTTTTAAGATACATGTTACAAGGAATTCTTACAGACTATGAACATCAACTTCCCGAAGTGAGGTCTGCTCCTGCCAATCCTTCCAGATCTAGAGGGATTACATTAGTACATTTATTTATATTGCTCATTCAGAGTGCTTTCTCCTAAAAAAATGCTTTAGTAAAATACTAGCAAGAAGCGAAACTTAAAACAGTATTAGCTGTGCAAAGAAGCCAAAAGAGCATCTAGGGATTGGAGGGTTCACAAACTTCCACAGCATATTTAACTTGCATCTTTTTTTGTAAAGTGTTTTTGTTTTGTTAGAAGAAATAAATAGGTTTACAAAGCGATTTTCACACAGTTTTAAGACACATCTTTTATTGCAGCTATTACTTCCACTCAATTCCCAAACAGGCTCCTGAAGTTCTTACAGGTCCATCTTCAGCAACCAACCTTTTATGTATTCCCTAGGAATTACTTTTGCCAGGTAACCAAGTATTTGAAGTTAGGATACAACTTCAGACCCACTGCAGACCACTAAAAATGAACAATAAAACTATTTTCTACTTCAGTCTCGAGACATTTTGGATTGTTTTTGAATGTTTAATGGAAAACTTTTATCAGGTTCAAGTACTACAAAATGCAGAACTTCCAGAAAGTTGTGTTGTCCAGTGTTGGAAAAAAAAAACAAAACAAACCCAACCCTGTGATAAAAGTTAGGAAGCAGAATGGTGTCAAATAAATCAGTTTCAGGAATTAATGCCTCAGCCCCAAAACTAACTGTTATCCCTTTTAACGGTAAGCTGACATGCTATTTCTGTTATAATTGCTACCAACACGAGATCTCCGTATGCTTAGCCTTGTCTGCTCAGCCAGCAATAACTCTACAGATGGAGTGAAAGCACCTCCAGCTATACCTTATGTCTCCTGTTCTCATGGCCTAGTCTTCAATTTACTGAAGACATATTCAAGTCTATACTGCATGACGATGTTTAAGTGAACGTGACTCCATTCCTCCACCAAGCCTAATCCTTCATCAGATTTTCACAACCGGCTCTCAATCACAACACCATGCCCAATTCAATATGCCTCACTTCATTCTCAAAAAAGTCGATCGGCTGTGTGAGAAAGGAAATAAATGGGTTGCATCTGAATTGTATGAATGTATTTCGATACCCCTTCAGGAAGCCACTACACATCCTGTTTCTCCTACTCGCTTTGAAGTCCTCCCGAGCCGAGCCGCACCACGCTGTTTTCCTCCCCGGTCTCTCCTCCCCAGCTCATCCTTCGGTTTCCCACGTTACCGAACGCATAGGCATTTTTAGTCAGCACTTCCTAACCACCAAAATAAAGTCACCAGCCTCTCTCTCTCACTCGCACACACGCTACACAAAGAAACAGAAGCATTCATGACCGTTTCCAGAACAGCCCTCTACCACCAACTTCCTGCACATCAATAATTTCGCAATTTCTGCTTGACAAACACACTCCGATGCCCGAAGTTCGAGCGGGAGGGGGCACTTCTGCTCGCTCAAAGGAAAACCTCGGAGCAACGGATGCTTCCCGGCCACTCCGGGGCTCCAACGGCCCCGCCACATCCCTTCATCCCTCCCTCATCCCTGCTCCACACCTCCCGCCCGCCCGGTGCGGCGCCGCTCAGACCCCGGCCCGGCCCCTCTAGCACGTGCCGGCCGCGCCCGCCACAAAGCCCCATCCCGGCGCCGCCAAAGCGCGGCCGCGGCCCCCGCGAGGCTCCCTCTCCTCATCGTCGTGCCCGAGGAGCACCGCCGTGAGGAGCTACTGCCCCCTCCGCGCCCCCATCAGCCTCAGGCGCCCGCCTCACCGCAGGGAGGGAGAGGGAGCGGTGGCGGCCCGCGCCGCGAAGCCACAGCAGGAGCGGGCACCTGAGCGCGGCAGCCCGCGGCGCTCGCGCAGCCCAACCCTACCACAGCCAGCCCCGGCCGCGGCACCGCACTTACAGATCTTTCCCCGAAGATTCTGCAGCACCCGCACCTCGTCGCCGCCGTCCCCGGCCGCCATCACGCCAGTGCCGCCGCCTGCGCAGTGCAATGCGCCGCGGGGGGAAGGGAGCGGCCTGGCCCCGCCACACGCCCGCGAGCCACCCCGCGCCGCCGCTACCGCTCCGCCCCAGCCGGCCACCGCCCTCGGGGGGCACCCCAGCACCGGAGCGGGGCGCGGGGAGGTGGCGCGCATGCGCAGTGACGCCCGGCTCCCAGCAGGCCTTTGCGCTGCCGTTCCGCCCTTGCTGTGGCGGCGTTCTAAGGGTAGGCTTGGCGGGGCCGAGGGGTGTTAGTGTTCCGTCGCCGGTTTACTACGTTCCTGGTGCGCTCGGCCGCTTCCGCAGCGAACCCTGATTGCCCTGTTCTGTGTGAGTCTCTTGCAGGGTAGAGGGGCTCTGGCTGCGAGGCACGACAAAAGTTTGTATTTACGCTATTCATTGCATTAAACGGCTGAAACGATTGACAGGGCCGGTTGTTTTGATTTCTGACATGCTGAGTGTCTGTCACTGGAAAAGGCACGGCATGGCTTCTGATGAACTTCCCCTGCTGTCCCTCATTCGGGTTGTCTGCTCAGCCACACAAGAAATTCCATAAAACAAGTAAGCAGTTCAGCTTCCAGAGCTGCCTCTGCACCCCAGTAGGAAGTGCAGAGACACCCAAAGGTGACATAGATAAAGCAGCAGCCGACGGCCTTCATTAAAGGGCTTTTGCATCATGTTTCATATCAACATTTCCTGAAGATCCTAACGTCAAACTCTCGGGGATCTTGCCTACATGTGGAGTTTGCCCCAGTCCCACATCGGTGGTGGGTCTTTCTTAGCTCTGCATAATCCCTCTAGCCATCACCTGCAGGTGGCACATCCATCTTACTTACACTTAGGTGCATGCTGAGGGTACATCAGCCACCAGTCCCTGCAGGCAGTCTGGTGAAAGCCTTTAATGATTGACATATCCTAAACCATTGGTAGTGCTAAAGCTGTTTTAGAAAGCAGCAGAGGAATTGGATTCTTTATACTTAGAAAGCCCTCTTCAGTCTGTCCTTCTGTTGAAGGGAAGCTTGAAAAATTTCAGGCCAGAACCTGTCACTGGTCTCTAACTGAAGTCCTCTGCTCTGACTGTTTTGTATTTCTCTGCACAAATCTTGCCATTGCTACTATGATACGGCATCAAGCCATATAATCTGACAGTCAGACACTGCTGCATCTCCCTGCATTCAACTTCTCCCCTAGTGCTCCTTCAGCAAGGGTGAGGCTCCTTCCTCATCCTCATGCTTCACAAAGTGGCTGGGGGATGTTTGAAGATAGCAGGCAGTAAGGTTGATGGGGAATAAGGTGCTTTGCAACACCAGTAATAGGTGTATTTGTATACATGCAAACCCAAATCTGCGCAAAGACATGAGTTTGCATTAGCTGAATTTTAACCTGTTGGAAATGAGGTTCCTGTGCAGGACAAATTGAGGATTTAATTATCTACAGCTGGCTGTCTAGGCTGGCTGCCCCATCTGACCAGACCAAGTCAAAGCTTTGATCTGAGGAAACGTAGCAGAGCAGCACTCTTGAGAATGGAGTGCTTAAACTGCAGGCTTCAACATTTTAAAAGCTGTATGGTGTGACTCTAATCCTTCCATACTCTCTCAAAAGCTACAATTACTGTTGGAGTTTACCATTTAACTTAGCATCAGCTTCCTCCGAAGCACAGACCTCCTGTAAATGTTACCAATGCAACTTTCAGTTTAGTTGTTGTCCAGTTCCTGAAACTCCATTTTTTTCTATTTTATAAGTGCCTTGTGTTAATCTAACATACTATATCCAGAGTACCATTCCAATTGCATAATACTCATTTTCAGGCTTTCTTAATTTTAAGAGCATCTGCTTGACAGGTATGTCTGTTCAGGTAAGGACATAGGTATGACAAACACTGGTGTGCTAACTTGGGAACTTAGTGGATTTATGTAACAAGGACGTAAGTAGAGGGGTCTTTGTTCTTGTGAGATAACCATTTATGTCAGCTAGAGTCTTGGACTATTAGTAATAACTGCTGTATTAAGGAAGTTAAGAACAAATAAAAGAGATGATGACACTTAGTGGGTTACTTCAGATGCTTCTGCCTGTAGTTAGTTGTGTTGTGTTCTTTCATTCAGTTGGCTAACATTTTGTTTAGGTGAACAAACACTGAGATGATCCACCTGTCTTTTTAATTATCATTTAAATAGAGAAAAATGTATTTGTTATATGTAGCAAATTTCTGAATTTTTTTGTTAGCTCTACATATCTCCTGAAGACCACCTCAAAATGACCTAAGTAATTTAGCTTACATTTCTTTTTTAATGCAAGTTACAGACTAGTGACACCTAGCTGAACGGGGAAGTACCGTGAATACGTATAAGCTCTTATTTTATACATTATCTCCCTATTTCCATCTACAATTAGATGATTGCATTTTGAACTCTGTTTCTTGACAGTAGCCCCAAAAGATCTGAAGTACAGTGTGTAACATACACTATCTACTGCAAGGTTACTATCAGAATTAAGAAGAATTTTGCAAGTTTCAATTCCTAATGAAAACATGTTTAAGATGTTGTACAGTATTAAACACAGTTCACGTGTCTTCTAAGTCAGCAGTAGATTCTGTTCACCTCAGCATTGCATTCACCTTTAATGGTACAATGCCAAGAGATACCATCACTTCCCTTGAGCTTTGGCATGTTCTCAATTCACTGTTTTGAACCTTAATAAAGGGAGCGTTTTGTAACTGTGTTGCTTAATCTTATAACGAAATAACTATTAGAAGATACATATCTCTGGGTCTTACAGATTATGTAAGTATTAACAATTTAAAAAATTGAGAGACTTGCAGAAAAAGAGGAAGATGTTATTTTAATTAAGCAAAAACAGAGTTATAATCACTCTTTCTAAAAATAAAATTAGACTCTTTATCAATCCTTAACATCTGCATTTAATATTTTCTTCTAAACAAAAATACAGATGCGATTATGTAGCAAATGACAGTCTTTGACAACATATAGTTTACCTTCTCTTACACTTACTTTAATTCTAATTTGGTCATTAATACTTGACTCATTACTGCAACATGTTACTTGTAATAAAAGTGCCACAATTGAACTATAAACATGACATTGCCATCTTAAAACTGCTTTGCTATAAACTGTAGAGAATATACAGAGTTACAAAGTCATTGTGTTTTTATCAAAATATACAAACCCCCCAAACCTAACACAAGCTATCAATATTTTTCTTATGAACTATACAGTTATATAAAATATTTGTAAAATTCTCTTTATATTTATAAATATTCTACCTTATTTGCTTTGGTCTATAATTATCATCATACAAGTCCACTTTGCAGATATCTCTGTGTACTTCCTTTAAAACATCGTCATACTTTCCTGTGTTTATTCTTCTATTATCCTTATTTAAATGGAACCAAAGCTGCCACGAACCCACAATTTCTCAAGGGGTTCACAGCATTCACCAATGACAGAATAAATAAGTGGACTACATTATTACTTCAATCAATACTGTATTACCATTTCAATTGTAGTTTTATTGTACCCCTATAGTTTCTTTTAAAGTATTCAAGAAGACAAAGTAAGTAAACAAACTGTGTACCATATCTGCATGTAGAATGAAGTCGAGGATCACTAACCTTTGTTCTGACTTAATTTTTTAACACTTCACAGAGATGAACATACATGACTAACTGGAAATGCAGGTACATTACAACAGAGCCCTATCATATAAAATGCAATTTCTAGACATACACCCTTTGTTGTTTTTTGTTTGTTTTAATCACAGTTAATCACATCTGCACAAAATAATACTACTTGCAGTATTTCAGTGATGTCTTTCAGAAACCTACTCTCCCAACTCTTAGCAAACTCTGAAGCTAACCCTTTGGTGTGTGGCAGGATGAGGAAGGATGAAGAACCAACATCTCTTCCTCCATCAACCCATGCCAGGCACCTCTGTGCTATTCGCCCACTCTGTTGAGCAAAGGGATGCTGTGACAGGGAGCCTGCCTGCAGCCAGGTGCAGGCGTGGTTTGGGATTTAACCAAGAAGGGACGTGTGAAAGTGAGATGTTGTAATTAAGGCATGGGAATGACAGGAAGCCCCATAAGCTGGCCCTATCCCTTTTCATACACAGAATTTGCTTCAGGGATATATATGGAAGCAAGTATCTGAGTATTTACATACCCTTCCCAAAAATAAAAGTATTTATGGTGAGTTGCTCTGTTGTTTGTTATCCAGGCATTATTCCAGGATGAGGAGGAAGCCTAATGTCTAAATCTCCTCCTCTGCCAAGTATAATGACATTCGTAAAAGGATTTGCAGACCCACCAGGAGGTGGATGCTTACATATAGGATTTCTTTTCACTAGGTTGTTTCATGAGAGCAATTTTCTTAGGTGCACCTGAATAGCTCTACCAGGCCATTGATATGGGGATTTATGCAGTTTGGAAGACTGGCTATTGCGAATTTTACTTAATCTTTATTACATGTCTGAGAGATATCATAAATCCAGAATACTTTCTACACAAGCACTCAAGACTTAATGGTTATTATGGTAACTACAAAAATGAAAGGAAAAGAGGTTTAAACCCCTGCATATGTTTTGTAAAGGTTGAGCTACAGAAAAGCACGCCAGAACTCAACTGTACTTCAGCATACCCAACTTCATGAAACACTTCCCACCTTCACTTTAGAATACACTAGATTACAATTACTTTGTTTATAAACATAATATTTTTTGTTTAAAAATGCAATATATGGTTTCTGCAGCAATAACTCCTTCTACAGAGTACACTGTGAACCTACATATTTATTTTGCCTAGAACGATTCTGACCCAAAAACAGCACTGTAAAATAGTTCAGTGACTAGTTTTCTGTAATGCTAAGCAGCAGGACTGTGGTTGGTCATATTCTTTTTCTTTCTCTCTCTCTCTCTCTATATTAGAAGTTGATTGCGGCAAAAGAATTTGGGGCCTTTCATATTAAGTTTGTATTATTGCAAATACTAGTTTTTCTTTTCTGTTATTCTTCTTTCTTTTGCATATACTGACATGTTTAGAGAAGTATTTGACCTTAGTAAATGGTTCTGATTGGAAATGTTTCCCCTTTCAATGTATCCATATTTTCTCCAGTATATAGTTTGAATTTCTCTTCTTCACAACTGTCACTCAGAGTATAACTTCTGGAGTTACATTTTGTGTATTTTTTACCTCACTTCCTTCTGAACCAAGGAAATGAGGATTTTCCAAAAGTTTAGTGCTTTCATTGCCAAACTGTTCCTTTCTGTCCTGTGGACCTGGACTTCTGAATAGGTGCTTCTTCTGGTGCATTCCCAGCGCAGCTGCTGTCTTGCAAATTTTGGGGCACTGAAAGCAAGCATATCCTTTGCCATTATGCTCACGTACATGCCTTTGCTCATGGTTCCTTTTGGTAGAAAGGTACAAGAAGCTCTGAAAGCAGAACTGACAGTGATAGCGTTTTTCTCCAGTATGAATTCTTTCATGTATTTTGAGCGTTTCATTTAAAGTGAATGCCTTATTACAGTATTGGCAGACAAAGTCTTTGACACCCAGGTGAATACGTTCGTGTTTCTGTAGATTTCCAGGGACTGAGAAACATTTACCACAGGTTTTGCAAGTGTAGGGCTTTTCCCCAGTGTGACACCTCATATGCATTTTTAAAGTGGATGGACTTTGAAATTGCTTTTGGCATAATTCACAGACGTAAGGCTTTGAGGCAGCTCCATGCCAGTGTACATGCTCTTGACTTTCTGCAGTGGAAGACTGATCTCCTTCACAGAGCTCACAAGGAAGATTAGGCATTTCTGTGTTCTCTTCTTGACTGACTGCCTTTTCTTCAGGAGCATTCCTGAGTGCGTACTCTTTACTGCTCGTGTTGTGGCTTTCCATAATTGTGTTCTTGCTTCCATGCTTTTTCCTCCATTTGGTCTTTTTCATTTTTCTTAGCTGTTTGGATTTCTTTTTTGGTTTGTAATTATAATAGGGTCTCCAGGGTTTATCGCTGGAGTCCTGGTCACTTACATCATCACACATTTCTGTAGGCTCCAGGCATTCTGAGCTATAAAGCCTAGATGGGCTTCTTTCTTTCACCTCCATTTCTGATTCCTCATTTAGATTGTCCTGTTTGGACTCATGTTTAGATTTTCGGCCCCTTTTACAAAACAGCTTAGATCCTAATATATGTCTTTTTACAATAGCCTCATTACCAATTTTTACCGTTATTTGACAAAGAGGTGCAACATTGCTGTCAGTAGATGTTCCAGGTAGGGCAGGCTTTGCAATATATGTTTCAGTTTTACTCGATTCTTGGACAGTATTTGTTGTTTTGCTAGATGACCCTCCAGATCCTGTGATGTGCTGTGAATCCTCAGTTGCTTCTGCTCTGTTGTACAGCAGTGTTTTCTTTTTATCCTTAATAGTTTTTGATTTTGTAATGCACTTCCCAGAATTATCTGACCCATATTTACAATCATCATTTACAGACTGACTAGGTAGATTATTTGAAGATTGTGTCTTACTGTTTTCTACAGAAGTAATTGTTTTACTGTGCATTATAACTGATGAAACTCTGCTACTGTGCATTATAACAGAGGGGGCAGAACTGCTGTAACTGATGACAGAGGTTGAGTTTTCAGTCACATTAGTTAAAGACACAACTGAGGAATCACACTCCTGAGTAGCAGAGTCACTTGCAGTAGTGGAAACTCTTTTTTCAGCTGTGAAAAAGTCTCTTTGCAGGTCAGAATTTAAGATCCCTACTCCCCAAGAGGAAGAATTCTGAGTGTTCGTGGAAGCTGCTGCATCATTACATGAAGATGTATCCAAAGCAAGAGTTCTGTTTGTTGCTATTATATTATGTTGAAAGTTCAGTGGTGGTAGCTCAGAGCTAAGAGAACTCTGAATGAAACAGTTAGTAGAAGCAGTTTCATTAACTTGGCTACTTGTTTGAACATTTTCATATGAAGAATTTCGGTAAGACTTATAAGGCAGTCGCCTGCATTTCATAGGTAAGAGTCGATAAAGTTTGTATGGGTACATACTTGGTTTTAAGCCTCCGTTGGCTGTCTTTTTATTAACTGAGAGGCGATGGTCAATTGCATGGAAAGACTTCTGATGATTTTTCAGTATATAGTAAGTCATAAAAGTCTCCAGACAGAAAATGCACTGATACCGTCTTTCCCCAGTGTGCCAGATCTCATGTCTGGTGCGATACTCAGCTAATGCGAATACTTTATTGCAGTAGTGACAAGGATATGTTCTTCTCCATGAATGCACATTTGCATGTCTTCGAAGGCTAGACAACGTTACATAGCTACGCTTGCAGACAACGCAAGTATATAATATCTGCCCATCAACGACTTTAACCAAATGATCTGTTTCTGGTAAAGTGCGGTTTGCATTAGAATAATCAGTGATGCTGTTCTCAGACAATAGAGGCTCTGCATTTGCATATGAACTTCCATTCCTTCCATCCGCAGCAGTATAGTTATCCTCTAAATTTTGTTCGTTTCCATTATGAACTGGTAAGCCACTTGATCTCATGCAGACTTGTTCATGGCTTTCCAGTATATTTAGATTTGCAAATTGTTTGCTGCAGTATTTGCATACGAAAGTTTCCTGATGCTCTGAATGGAGTTGAAGATGAGTAGTCAATAACGCCCTGTCATTGAATGATTCTGCACAAGAGTTACAATTGTAAACGGGCGGAACAACAGTCGCTACAGACCCAGAGGCGTTAGCAGAATTGTTTTCCTCTTCTCTGGATAAATTCAAATCTCCTGCTTTATTCTGAGGTTTTGGAAGGGAAGTAATTGTCTGCTCAGTAACTGCTTCTTGTTGGGCTTCTGTAGTGGTTACTGTAGAGGCAGGTACTTTTGCTATAGCCAAACCAGTACCTTGGGGCTTAAAAGCTGTTTTAGGAGTATTACACGTTTGTTTTCCTGGCTGAACAAGTGGTGTGGCTTGGACATTTTCGTAGTGGTCTTCACCCACCTTGTATGAAGGGCTCCTGTCCTGCTCAAGAAAGGGTGGTCCTTGAAAAGTGTCTCCCCCAGAAGAAACTGCATAAGAGTGTTCAGCCAGTGTACTGGCTGGCTCAGCATCTTTGCAGACATCGCTTCTGTCAAGGCTGATGCTCGGAGCTTGTATTGTCTCAGATACCTTTTTAAAGCTTGCCCTCAAATCAAGCGGAGAAAACAAACTGTTTTCTGTTTCAAAGATTGAGAATGCATTTGTAATACGTGGTCCATTTGTCACAGAGGAGTCTTCATGTCTCTTTTCATGTTTTTCCTCTTTGACAGTCCCTTTGTCATTAACACAGTATGCATAAGGGCAGGGGGAACTTGAAAAATTAACATCTGTAAGATCTTCTAGGAATGATATTCCCAGTTTTTTCCCTGCAGCTGCAAGATCTGTTACAGTCTCCTGCCTCTTGACAACTACTGTGGAACTGTAGATGTAATTCAGTATTTCTGTAAACACTTCAGCTTTGAGATCATCTAACTCCAAAACATGACCTGAAATACAGATAGTACGACTCCAGAAAATGTTTTTAAAGTAAAGGCTTGAAGCTGCCAGCACATTACTATGAGCTTTAAATTTGGTATCTTCCACAATGATGGTGACATCACATAAAATGCCCCGAATCCGCTGTTCGTTTAAAATGGAAAGCACAGTGTCACTGTGGAAGTCGTCCTTGAGATCCTTAGAATGGGACATGACTGTCATCTACAAGACAAAGAAAACAAGAAATATATTTAAAAGGCATTTTTTATCCATTTGTTTTACCAGTTGACGGGGTCAACAGAAAGGACACAGACGCCAACAAAAGAGCAGGCCCACTTCACTGTCTCTGTCAAGACAGTACAGGAATGAAGCAATGCATTCAGCTTAAACAGTAAGCTTATTATACTATAGTTTTAAGCAGCAAAGAAAATAAGCAGGGTAATGCACCTAATCATTAAGGTTAACTATAGTCATTGAGAAAGATACATCACCAGTTGCCCTTATATTCTACCATCATCCAGATCTGCAATCACTGGGGAGCCCCAGTTGCAGCAAGGATTTGGAGAACCTGTCCCAGGAAGTGGGAGGTCCTATGCACTGCATCCACTCGTAGGTGAGGTCTCCAAAGTCACTGCAAGAGGGTCCAGCTTTTATATAGTTGAATAAACATCTTGCAAAACATCAAGTGCGGAAACATCTGGTGTCACCCTCCCCATTGGATTCCGCCCAAGCCAGGCCACGGCTCAAGGAGGAGCCAAGGGAGTGTATCTATCTATTTTAGCTTTGACCACATATTTCTCAACAAGGCCACACGTCTGATTTCACAGCCTTGCAACGTGTCTCTAAATAAAGGAGGATCACTCTGCGGGTTACTATTACAGAATAAGCATTACAACAAAGGTTTTATACATTGCCTTCAAAATATATATATTCATACTAAAGTAGATAATGCATTGCATAGGTGATCAATACTATGCATATTAGATATATATATTGTTGGGTTGTAAGACTCACCTAGAGGTCAGCCTTGGTTCAGGGCCTATTGTTCAGGCCATAGTACGTCACCATTTCAGTTACAGATGAAGTTTATAGTTATATTGTTATTTTGTGTATATATTTAATCTATCAACTGATAAATTTTAAGTAAAATTTTGCCACAGCATTTCAGCTTGAAGTCATCTTAGGTTCACTAATGCCAATAATACTAATTATATACAGATCAAGGACATAGGAACACCAGTATCTCCTCAGCAGGTGGCAGAGTATCTTCTCTGTTCCCACATGGGTCTGTCACCCATTGGTGCCTTTCACTGGGGACCGCTGCCACCAGCTTTCTTCCTGTTGTGCCAGCAGGCGCATCTGCTCAGGTTCACAGTGAATGACTCACCGAACCCATGAGGTAGTTACCCCAGCATGCAGTTGAGGTATTGGAAAACATTATGGGGAAGGCTGAATTGCTGTGGTTCTGTGGATACCAAGGACTTTGTTTTCTGGCTCTGTTTGTCAGACAATGATTTTACAACACAATTGCATTTAATCTCCTTATTAAGCTGATATTTAAAACAGGGATCAGAGATCCCATGCAATTAAGTTTGATACAGGATAAGGCTCTGTAAACAAACCAACGTATAAGCAACACCATTTTGTAAGAAAGAGTGGAGTATAACACAATTAATGTAAACAGTATATTATTTTTAAATAGTGGTTAAATTTTATTAGATAGTTTACACTTTGAAAATTTGTAAGTAACTAAATTTACAAATTCTGTAAAACAAGTAGAAAGTAACAATGTTTTTTCTTAGTTAATAGTTTAGATTGATAGCACTCTTACTTTGTAATTTGATAGTGTGCTCCTAATTTCTACCAAATAATAAGATTTAATTGCAATAGTAGATACCATAAAAAACCTGCCAATTGATAATAATGAGGTTTAACGCTGACAAAAAAAAAAAGTTTAGATTAGCCAGGCTGTTACTGTATGAATATATGGCTTCTTTTTAAATTGAAATAAAATATGTAAAATATGAATGAAAAATAGACTGGAAAAGGATGAATTTAACAATATGTATCTGGAGAAAATCTCTGACTTAATCAGATGATTTTTTTGTTCTGTTCGAATTCAGAGCTGCACCATGTAATCCATATAATGAGGTTTGTTCCTTTTTTTCCCATCTCTGAGTAATGTTTTCAACTACTACTGCCCATTTCTGACTTCAAATAATGAAGACATAGTTGTGCTACTGACAATTCAGTCACTACAGTAAAAAAAAAATCTGCATATTTATTAAAGACCCTTTTCGCTCAACCTCTGGAAACAAAACACACCTTAAAGAAAATTACCAACTACAGACTCTTAAGACAGGTTAAGAATAGTACCACAGCGTAGCTCTACTAAATTAGAAATACATTCTAAACATTCCACCTACTGCTACAAACTTCAGTGTTAGTCTTGAAAATTTTGATGATGACCTTTATCCTCAAATAGTTTCCACTGAAAAATGCCAACATATTTGTTAAGATAGGTTTGGTGGTGAAATAAAGGTTTCACTAAGCAAGCAGCAACGGCCATTTGGAACACACTGGCTCTCTCACCCTTCCAAGCTATTTGGAACTAATCTGTTCTTGAAAAGAGTTTTTAATCACCAAGCAAACAATCTGGGACATGCACCCCTGCTCTAGCTACATATTGGACATTTTACCACAAATCCACCAAGTACTTCACTACAAATTATACAAAAAACTGACAACCTTACTGTGTAAACAAACACAATGTACTACAAAAAAGCTTATAATTTGTTACATTATGGATTAATCTTGCAGGTAAAATCTGTATCTTGCAGCATGGCCACCAGTTCTATCGGGAAGGTCTTGTCTATCCAAATGGCCAAAACTTCTAACCCAGTTTAATGGCTGAAATTTTCCAGTGCACAGAATTCAGAAAAATCAAAACTATGTTTCAAAAAACAACAACAAAAAAGCAAAAAACAAAACCACCCCTGATGCTTATATATGTCATGGATGTAAAGAAATTAATTCATCAGTGTAACTGCAGTAGAAATGCTGACATGCATTATTTTGATGATCTGGTCACTCACAGCAGCTGTAAATCTAGCTGCATTGTTTTGTGCCTTTATATCTTAATACCACAGTTTATCATTTATTACACTTATTTAGCTTAAATTAAGATATATTAATTTGGAATAATAACCTGAAATTCACAGAAATTAGGAACAGTTACTCATTTAGGTTTGTTATCGGAAAACACATATGTAATCGTAGATAGTTTCTAGCACATCAAGTCTTTCACAGAAAGAATACTGAAAAGAACACTTTTCTTCAGGCAAGCAGCCACTATCCCATGATTGATTGTTTTTTCTCATTGACAATGTCTGAGATTACATCTGACTTGCTCATGTGATGTACTAGAAACCAACTGTCAGACTTCAAAAACATTTCACAACAGGAGCTATTGATAGAGTTATTTCCTGAGTATAGGAAATAAATTATGTCAACTCTACCTCCCAGTGAACTGCCCCACAGGAACTTCCCTCTGTTTTTTCTGTGTCTTTATTGGAGACAGCTGGTTTTAGTTCAAGGACACATCATCTGACATGCTATTTGCTAAATGTATCAGACTACTACTATACTAACAGGCATTTATAAGCAAGGCCTACAAACCCAAGTGTTTTTTAGTAGAAATCATCTTATTCAACTAGTTATTTCAAAACTTATCCTCCTGAGAAGAAAAGTGAATTTTAAATTTCTACTTGCATGTATATAGATTGCCAGTTTTTGTAGTCCTGGTTATTTGGGCATGCTCCGTAAAACATCAAACTAGATTCCTTGTGTTAAAGTACCAAAAGCTATCATTTGCTATTTGGATTTTTTTTTCTTTGTGCTAAACATCTGCTATACATCTAATTGGAAAGTTATACAGAAAAATTCCAGACCAAATTGATTTTCAGAGCCAACACTTTTTGCTTCTCTATCTCAACCTATGCATTCCCCAAATAGTCCATTTATTCATAAGTCTAATGATTCCCTACTACCTTTTATTTTACTTGTTTCTTGCATTCATGAAAAATGTGCCTCTAAAATTCTGTAAAATCAAAATGCTCTACCTAGCACACAGATAAATGAAATAATTTAGGAATATTTTACATTCCATTTGCAGTCCATGCTGCAAAAGGAAAACCTGCTCTTCAGTTTCCAAGGGAGCTCTACTAAGAACAAGATACACAGAGATCAAACTTGACAGATGTATTATTATTAGCATTATCATTAAATACTTTTTAATTAAAACACTGGAAAGTACATTGGAATGTTACCGTTCTTCTGTATGTTTTTATAATATACTTATGGAAGAAATTTTAGTACTATTTATAAATGTTGCCAAAAACATATGTAAATACCATTTGGATCTGTTAACGGTCAAACATTAAACTCTTCCGTCTAGTAAGCCATCCTTTTGGGATTTTAAAGATGCTAATACTTTCTGGTACTTAAAGCATTACACTATGGAAAAATGTTCACTCCATAGTTTTTATAATACCAGTTTCATACCTTTTCAGTTTCATTCCACTCTAATAACATACTTTGAAGGATATATCTCTTTTGTTTCTGGCCCTATAGTGCCCCTTCTTGCAGAGCACTATTTTGTTCTAGAGCAGAAAAAGGGCTAGACATCAGAAACCAAACAAAACCAAGTACATACACTCCACACACATCCCCCCCAGCTCTACTATCCCAGTTATTGCCCACCCAGAAACCTAGTGTCCAATCATCGTTTTTACGATGGTAGCTCAAGACTTTTTATGGAGTCACTTCCACAGTGCCACCTGGGCACTATGGTTAAAGAGGAGCGCCTCGACCAGCCTCCCATCAGTCTCCTTATAACCTTGGGCATGAAAGGAACTTGTAATTATGTCTATTAAGTTTTAACGATTAATAGCTTGCAGTGGCATGTAGGTTAGTGCTCCAGCCTTAGTAGCGTCATGTTGATTCTATAAGTACACTTACATTTTTTCTCTTCTAGACTCTCACTGCTCGCATTCTTCCCTGTTAATGCAGGACACTTACCTTTTCTATTTGTTATAGCCTCATAAGCATTATAGACTTTAAAGCATTTTTTACAGCCTCACATGGTTTCCTCAAACTTTTAATTGAGGCAGCTGGTGGTGAAATTTAACAAATACTATGTTCATATTAGCAGACCTCTGAAGCCACCAGATGAACCACTCTTTCTGAGTTGTAATTCTTTCCTATTATTAGCACCCCTAACTCCTTCTCCCACTTCCTAGTTTTACACTGTGATCATTCCTCATCACATGAAGAACAGCCTTTAAAACCTTACTGGCACTCAGAGCAGGCTAGTGCTTTTTCTTACACAGCGTTTCCCACTTCGAAAAAACAACGCAAGCCCCATCTCAGCCCAAAGACAAGGCACTCCATAACTGATCCGGCTATAAAAATAACTGCAAACCCCCACGACATTTCCCACTGCACATCCGGTTCTTTCCGGTATCAAAACGTTTCGTCCTTTTGTCCACCCCTGTCTAGCAGTGACCCTGTCCGAGGGCAGGCAGAAGGTAGGAAGGGGGAGGCTGGAACGGGCAGCAGTAGGCCGGGAGCTGCAGGAGGTGTCAGAAGCAGGCAGGGGCTCCCTCGCACCGTTCGCCCACACGGTGGAGCTGGACGCGCGCAGCAGAAACCCCGTCCCCTTTTCTTATTAAATCAAGATACGACATGAAGGCTTTTACAACGACATTAAACCTGAACTGCCCCTGCAGGGCTCAAACGCCGCTGTCCCGCAGCCCTGCTCGAGTTACATAAAACACAAGCTCCTGGTGCGACATGTTAACGTCAGGACACTTGTCTGTTTTAACACGGAGCCCCTCGAGACATGAGACATTTGGCAACGCGTCAGCGGCAGATAACGTGAAGACACTTCCTGTTTATGGGCAGTAACGGCACTCTGGACTAAATTAAATCTCTAGCCGAGGAAGCAACGCGTATTAACCTGCAGCACAGTTTTTCCCCAGCAGTAACAAACACGCTTACGCAACTGCGCGCTCGAATGCGGCACAACTCACTGTTTCTGAGCTACCTGGCGGCTAAAAGCATGCCCCTGGGCTTTCCTCTGGCCGGGCGGAGGAGGAGGAGGAGGAGGAAGCAGCGGCTCAGCGGGACGGCGCGCTGGGTGCCCGGGCGCGCTGTGACGTGACAGGTGCCATCTTCACGGCGGCGCGCGGCCCGTGGCGCCCAGGAGGCGCGCCTCAGCGCGGGGCCCGCGGAGGGCGGCAGCACGGCGCAGCCGCCATTTTGCTGTGGTAATCCCGGGTGATCGCAGGGGCCCGGGCCCGGTGCCCCGGCCTCCCCGCGTTCCGTACTGACAGCGACGCTATTTCCCGTGCGTTTATCGCACGGCAAACGTTCTGTGCTTATTTAACACGGCCTGCTGGGATATTCGGCGTATCAGCCAAGTTGTTTACACGTAAGGGCCGTAAATTTAGAAATATGAGGAAATGCAGCGTTGCCTACGTTCAGACTCTTGCTCCACGGCCGTCATTTAGAAATCCTCTTAAGCCAGAGGAGTTGAAATGTTTTAGACTCCTTCACAGCGTTTACCATAAGGACAAGAAAACATTTACAGAGATACATAACTCTCAGCATAACCCTTGCAACTGCCCACTAAAAAAAAAAAAAAAAAAAGATATTGTAGAAATAACATCTGTAATTAATTCCATTTAGTTAGTGAAGTATAGTCACATTTACCTTATTTTCATTACCCGAGTGTTATTTTTTTTTAAAGCATATACAGATACTTTCACAGCATCATGAAGATGTCTGTTTTACATAGCAGTCTTAAGTCTCTTATTTCGGTTTTTACGGATTTACTGCCTCAGGAAACAAGTGCAACAGTGTTATTAGTGCTTCATAAGCACTAACAAATGCTTCCATAGATAAAAAAGTAGTGTGACTTCATTTAGCCATATGCTCCAATAT